CCATCATCTTAGACTAACTCAAATATCGCAGATAAATAACGACCTGGAGATAATAGAGGACTGGGGTAACAAAAACCTTGTACAGTTCAACGCGCAGAAAACCCAAGCAGCTCTGTTTTCAAAAAAGACCAGCACCGGTGAGCCAAACATCATGCTATCTGGAAGTGCTGTCACATTACAGAGTCAGTTGAACATCTTGGGGGTTACTGCAGAGACCAACATGTCTTGGCACAGTCACGTGGCAGATATTGCTAAAAGGGCCTCCCAAAAGCTGGGGGTGCTATTTCGTACAAGACATCTGTACACACCAAGCCAATTGCTGACACTCTACAAAGCCCAGATTCGACCAACTATGGAGTACTGCTCACATATATGGAGTGCAGCACCCAAACATACCTTAATGCTTTTGAATACCGTGCAAAAACGAGCTATCAAGCTGATCAATGACCCCGCGCTTACTCGTAACTTGGATGGTCTCAAACATCGCAGATCTGTGGGCGATTTATCTCTCTTCTACAGGTACTATCACGGAAAATGCTCTGAAGAGTTGGCACGTATGATTCCACCGAGAGTAGCACCTACCAGGCGAACCCGTCAAACAGACGGCAACCATGAATTTACTGTCAAACTAGAGGCACCAAGAACCTCATATCAGAATTCATATCTCTGGAGAACAGCATCGCTGTGGAATAAACTCCCTGCGACGGTTTTCCCTGCAGGTTACAACCTGAACCGTTTCAAGACCAACATACACCGACATTTCCGCGCACCTGCCGCTTCTCGAGCGTGATAGTACATTTCCTTGCGAGTGCGCATATCCGTAAAAAAAAAAAAAAAAAAAATAATAATTTTTTTTTTTTGACGATGAATTCTGAAAATTTAATTAAAACTGTACAACTTTTGTGTCCACACCTACCGTCTACCTGTAAAGGTGAAGGCTTTAGGTTGGAAGTCAAATTATAACCAGACACCCTGTACATACAGGGCCATATTTTATATTTTCCCACCCCCCTCAACTTTTTTGTGCCACTGTGTATGAAAAAAATGTAAATAGGAAAGTTGTAGTGCTTGAAAAATAGTTCTTAGAAAATATAGTTTTGTACATACAGGGTGTTGAAAAAAGTTTAAAAAACAAAAAAAAAATATATTTTTTAATGGGACACCCTGTATATTATGACATTTCTGGATTCTGCGAAAAATTCTAGACATATTTTATGCATAATGTCATATACCTATCGTCAACTGTTTCGGAAATGACAGTGAAAAATTGACTTTTTTGCAACTTTGAGAGGCTGTAAAACCTAAACTGTTCATTTTGCAGCAAAACCGATTTTACATTCTGCAGCTTTTCATAAGCTAGCATTTGACTACAACTTCGAATTTAATCCGATTGAAAATTCCAATTAAATCTAATCTCCAGTTAAATTCAAAGTTGGTATCAAATGCTAGCTTATGAAAAGCTGGAGACAAGAATGTAAAATCGATTTTGCTGTAAAATTAACAGTTTAGGTTTTACAGCCTCTCAAAATTGCAAAAAAGTCAATTTTCTACTGTCATTATTTCCGAAACAGTTGTCTAGAATTTTTCGCAGAATCCAGAAAAGTCATAATATACATTAAAAAAATTATATTTTTTTGTTTTTTAAACTTTTTGCAACACAATATAGGGGGGGCCATGGCCCCCATGGCGCCTCTCTGGATCCGCGCCTGGTACCTAGAGTGGGGAAGTTTTACTCAAGCGTGTGTCGAGATTACACCCAAGTAAGTGATTTAGTTTTTCCACGAGTGCTGTAAGTATAGCGTTTTGTTCAATCCTGCTACTTAAAATTTACATTCCTGACAATAAATGTTTGTTTCTGACGATGGATTCCAGAAATTTAGCATAAGCTGCACAACTTTTATATTTACAGCTATCATCTACCTGTAAAGGTGAAGGCTGCAGGTGGGGGTCAAAATATATATCCTTTACCTTCACCTTTGGACATCGGATTGTGAAAGGCTCGTAAAGCATATTTTTTTTATTACATATTCTAAAAGAGCGTGTTGAGATTAGCAGTTATGCAAAATTTTATAATTTTCTGAGCCCTTGTTCATATTTAAATAAATTATCAAATTACTCCAAATTTGAAACACACGGTGACGTCACTGCATCTCTCACGTTGGTCGTCGCGGTGCTGGTACGTCAGTCACTTCGACAACAGGCATTGCTTTGACAAATTTTGGTTATATATAGTATTATGTGCATCTATTAACCTGTATTCCTGCCTGAAAGCAAATGCTGCCCAAAAATATTTTTAAATTAATTAGGCTTCCGTATTTTTTGCTCGGTATCCGTATCGGTATCGTACTGCGCATGTGCAGAAGCGATACGGAGGCCGAGATACCGTACGTACAACGTAACGTTACGGCCGTCTCGCGCTATCGGTATCGGTAACGAATCTTGACATTCCTGACGCATGTGTCAAATTTTAAATGAATATAACCTCACTTTTCTTCCGGGTTGATTTAATTTGTTTAGTTTATACTTTCTTGAGTTTCTTGTGTGTTTAGTGCTTAGACAAGGTAACACAGCAGGTGAAAATGAAGCAGTTTGCCACCAAAAAACGTCTGCTTTTTTCATAACATAACCTAGAAAGCATATTGTTTTTTGCCTGTTAAATGTAATCCCGTCGACTTTTTTTTCTCTGCGAGTTTTGCAGCCATACGCTAGCAATCCACCATGCTGAATATCACAAAAATGTTAGCCTGAAGTAAAATTCATATAGTGGCACCATGAAAAATTGTCGCCATTATTTGGTGGCAAACGGTCACAACCAGCTGCTAGTGCAGGTAAAGGATGTTACGTGTCCTCTTTCTTTCCTTGTCTAAGGTTTAGTGCTTCTCTATCGCAAAAAAAATAACAATTTTAAGGTTAGATATAAAAACGCCGGAGTTTTGAGACAAAAATTTCCAGGTTATGAGATGCGTTTACGTTTACCGGAACAGGGAGCGCTTTAACAGCCTTTTCGCTTGTCAACGTATCTAGTTGCGTTACGTATACCGATACCGATACCGGCGAATTATTTCAAGTAGCTTTATGTCCCTATTAACAAATTGAAAAAAACGTAACACTACCCCCATCGAGTTATGCCCTAAGTAGGGTATCAGATTGAAGGTCTCGATGTCCCCTATCTAAAAAGTCGATCCTGCCTCGTGAGAACTTGTCGGAAAAGGGTGGCAGGACAGCTTATTGGAGCAGGGCCCGCGGTCTCTGCTTTGACACCTATCAAGCTTTGCACTAAATGATGTGTCAAATTAAAGGTGTCAATAAGTTGATTTAAGGTCTGTTCCCACAGAAATCATAAACCAGTCAGAGCGAATTTCATTGGTTGGAAACAGTCAGGAAACTAGTTTCAAACAATGGAATTCACTCCTTCTGGTTTGGGATTTCTGTGCGAAGAGACCTTAAATCAACTTATTGACACGTTTAATTTGACACATCATTCAGCGCAAAACTTGATAGGTTTCAAAGCTGAGACCGCGGGCCCTTGCTCCAATAAGCTGCCCTGCCACCCTTTTCCGGCAAGTTCTCACGAGGCAGGATCGACTTTTCATCGAGACCTTTAATCTGATACCCTACTTAGGGCATAACTCGATGGGGGTAGTGTAAAGTTGCGTATCGATTACCCGCGGCAAACTGTCGAGCATTGGTTCGCGCGGCAGCCGCGCTCAATGGATACTAATTGCCGCGCGAGCCAACCCGTGCTCGAAGATGCCGCGGTGCGAGCCAATTTCTGTCGGCTTTTGGAGCGCGGCAAAGGAAATGCTCGCACTAAGGCCGGAGTTACCCAATTCCTTAATTCTTAATATTTGTCCCTAATTCCTAATTCTTAAAAAGTTCAATTTATTTAACATTGATGTTTTTAGGGATTAAGAATTAAGAACCAAAATTAAGAATTAAGGAGTTGGGTAACCACGGCCTAAGTTGAGGCGCTTGTGTCGTTAATCGAGTTGGATGGCGCGGCAAAATGACGATTTGCGGCAGGCTGCTCGTGCACGTGAAACGTCCATGGTTGCTTCGCAAAAACTAAGCAAACATATGGATCGCATGCTGCGAGCGGCAGCCGCGCTTTAACAAAGTGGTTAAGGTTAGATATAACGTGTCTCAAGTGGCTCGCGCGGCAAATGAAGGTATTTTGCCTCGCGAGCCTGCCGCGCGCGGCTGCCTCGCGAAATCGATACGCGGCTTTACGTTTTTTTCAATTTGTTAAAAGATATTTCCGGCAGCATCTGCTTTCAGGCAGGAATACAGGTTAATAGATGCACATAATACTATATATTGATAATAGTGTCGACACATAACTCGATCGGGGTAGGAAAAATGCGGTCGTCTCCCTAACTAATTATAGTAAATAGACACTTTATGTTTGACCAAACACGTTAACGCAATCTTTAAACGTAAACCTTATTTTTTACTATAGCGTCGAGTGATCGTCGGTACTCACAAATCAGTTGAAGTTAAATTTTCACGTAAACGTTAACGTTATGTCTCACAATCATGACCTAAACTCTAAATATTGTTGTGAAAAGGACAAATTAGAAATAATTTTTTGTATTTTGATTATTTTGGATTACATATGATAACTTTTTTTTTAAGGTTAAAATACATTTGGCAAAGGTCGAAGCCGGAAATCTGGCTTTCAGGCCCACTCGGTTTAACGAACGTTTACGGATAAGGTACACGCAAAGACCCGTTAAATAACGTGACACGTAATACGCTATTTCTGGTGAAAAGAAACTGCGCATGCGCAGCTCTCAAATTTTACGTTAGCGTTAACGTATTTTGTCTAACTTAAAGTGTCTAATAGCTCGGTTCGGTTCATGTACTTCTACCTATAAGATACTGGCCAACTTAACTGCTCTAGAATTTAACGGGTGAGCAAACCTGAAAAGCTATAATAAAAACAAGAAACCAATATTCAAAATAGGTATATTAATGTATGTAATATATCTTAAGTACTGCGAAATTTTGATTTGACGAGTATAACTATGAGGTGGATCCACTTTCTGTTCCTGAACTTTCTTCCCCCATAGTAGAACCGTCAGTCTTAAAAAATATTTTCCTCAGAAACTTCAAATTTAGTTTTCACTACTCTACCTACCGTTATCTTCTACCTTTGTATCCTCATTATCATTGGTCCTGGCTACGGTGACGAATACATCTTCCAACGAAGCCTCGCTAATATCATAGTCATCGATCAGATCGCATCTTTGTTTCAAATCATCGAACGTCCTAAACAGTTGAGCCCATTTTATCTCTTTGGTTTTTATGAAGTAATGAATCAAGCCCTAAAAATAGAAAACTATTTCAATTGGCTAAATAGGCAATAGGAATTAATGTGGCGAAAGGGAAAATCATATTAAATAAAATTTCAAGGATGGTACCTACTAGTATTCATCGCAGCCTTGACGTGACCTGATTTAAGAAAATACAAAAATAAAGATAATAGCTTCATGATCGGACAGATCAGCGTTAACAACTCTGTAGTCTAAACGGTGATCTTCAATATAACTACACACATAATCAAGAACTTTTAAAAAGCTGGGGACAATACGTGTTGGAGACTCAACATACATATACTTAGGTTGACAGATCAAAGTAAGAAAAATGTAATGAGAGAGTGAAAAATGGATCAAGATCTTTCTGGTCTTTAACAAAATCAGTTGGTCAAGGCCTCCGGCCCCGATGGAATACCACCTATAGTATTAAAAAAGTCTGCGGCTGAACTAACTCAGTAAGGTTCTATGCGGGAGCGAGACCACTTTCACCCATTTTCCCATGTAAATCTCCATAAGAAACTCTGGTGGCCGATTTGGCAATTTTTGCCCCATTCAAGGATTCAAGGTCATCCAGCTTTAGCTATACACGTCTAGAGACAGGTCTGATACAGTTTTGGACATGTCTGTATACAGTCTCAGGCACGTCTAGAGACTTTACTTCATCACACTATAGAACCAGAAGTACTCGGAGCAATAAATACACGCTACCTACTGATAGCTCCAAGCTCCAATTCTTTCAAACTGGATTTATTACACCGTCTCCAACAGTAATTCGGAAAACCTCAAATTTAATTCAGAACAGTCAAATGAAAATCAGAAATCATAAAATATAATTCAGATTTAACAAAAGTAGCCTAATTCAGAAAGCACTAAATGTATTTCAGATTTATCAAAAGTTGTTCAGAATGCATCAATATAATTCAGAAAACATCAAATTATTGTATTTCAGTATCTGTAAAATGTAATACAGAAGGTGTAGGGGCAACAGGATACCCCTACTAGAAAAAAGATAGTTTTCTTTGTGTTTTCAATGGACTGTATTAATAATTAGAACAGGAAGAGAATGAAAATCAAAATAGCGAGCTCTTTAACTAAACACCATCTATTGTTTCACAATCACAAATCACAGACAAAGTTGAAAGTGTATGGGTAAATTTTACCACGTAAATAACAAAAGCTCGTACTAAAGTTTCTTGAATAATTACAGAATCAGTTCGATACCGAGTTCACTAGAAATTTTATCCGATTTTGTCGACTATTTTTTAGAACGTTAGAGAAGAGAACACCCGAGAGCAGAAAGATTAGAAAGAAGCGTGCGGCCTTACCGCGTCAGGAGCAATGATCCTTTCAAGGTCTAATGGCAACTACTATCACTTGTTTAAATAGAGAAATCAGAGCAAATTCTTTACTACGCTGCCTGCTCCGCGGCGACTGCAAGATTGTGCAGTTTTGATTGGTGCACCGACTCACCTGATTTTTAAATGGGCCAATCAGGGCGCAAGAAACATATCCTCGGAATTATGGGATCTAGCAATAGCAAATGTTCTTGAATAATAGGGCACCAAATATATTATTAGGTGTTAATTTAATTTTTAGCATCTGAATTACCTATATTTCAATATTTTTTTAAATTATCATTATCTTTGAATTATTAAGAATCTCCAACAGAAGGTAATAAATGTTAGTCATAAACCATCAAAAGTTATTCAGAATTCATCAACATGTTAAAGAAATTTAATAAATTAAATAGGTACTGTAATGATCCGCAAAATAGACCCGTAAATCACAATGTCTTTACTGTAAAAATTAAATAATATCAAATAATCAAAAACTGAATTCCGGTATTTCCAAATCAGTATCGATAAATTAAAAATGGAACAAATTAATGTGACCCCAAATACATTCGAAATTATATTATTTCCCCAGCGTGATGTCATCCTAACATCCGATCAATGAACTTTTTTTAACGAGGCCATAATAATTACATCGAATGATTTATGGCATTCTTGAACCAATGTATTGACCTCGATAAATCAGGATATTGCGACATAATTATTCGATTTTTTAAACTAAAAATGATAAAAATTTCTAGGAAATCTAGGTCGGCCAATGGGATTGTCGTATTGATGGTCAAACGACCGCCTATTGACGATTTTGGGCGATAATTGATAATACTTTGCGGGGGGATCGATTAAATATAAATACCGCGGTTTTAGAAGTGGAGGTCAGTTGAGAGATGAGTTCGCAGTCCTGTCCAGTTTGAGTTAAAATATACAGTACCTAAAGTGTCAGTCCGGTTTCGCGAAAACTTTATTTTATGGCGTATGGCCTCGGGTTTAATTTAACTTAGAAAAAAAAACGAATAATTGTGAAAGAAAGAACATTTAAAGGCGTTCAACTTATGTGTCGGCTCTAGAGAATTTTGAAGTAAATTAAATTAAGTAATTTTACTTGTGAAAAGTTGAATGTAGGTACTTTAGTGGTTAATAATTTTCTGACTTTTATCAATGATTTGACTTTATAAAAGATGAATGACTATAAAGTGAAATTATCTTTGGAACTTTAAATGCATAAATAGTAATACTCGAGTGTTTTGACTATGGAACATTATTGCATAACTTCAATTGCCTTCAGATATAATGACATTCTAATTTAATTTTGCAAAGAAAATATGAAGGGAATTTATAATGCACTTAACAATATACAATTTTGAGTAGGAATTATGAATTAAACAGTTGGGTTTTTTAGCTAGGCTAAGAATCCGAAAATTAGAATTTGTTCTGATTTTGGAAAGAAACTTGATGTTCATGAAATAGAATTGTTGTCTTAAAATATTGGAAAGTTCTTGAAGGAAACTTATTGTTCATCAAATGAATTTTGAATTAGGGTTTTAAATTTTATGTAGAAATTATTGTAGGGTTTTATGAGAATAAGTTAGTATTAATAAACAAATAGGTAATTATTTTGGGTTTTTCATAAGCAGTCAGTAAAGGACTTACAAAATTTTGAAGAATTTATAGAAATAGGTGAAGGGTAGTTGATAGGAATGAATCGCAAGTGTTGGAATAAGTTATCTTATAAGTTATTAGGAATAGTAGGAATAGGGCGTTTCTTATTTAGTATGGATATTTCAGTGGTCCGTAATAATGACATTTTTTGAACGGATGTGAAGTAATTGAATTTAGAAAAATAGATGAGGCTGTCAGAATTGGAAAATATTTTGCTGATTTAAATTTTCTATAAAATATAATTTAGTAAACCTCAATAGTTTGTTTCCTCTTTTGCGAATAGACCCTTCCACAATTTTATAGGTAGCAGCTCCAAGGAAATAAACACCATCAATATACCGCTCGCCATTTACCATCTAAGGTTTAGATTCTAACCAATTACATAGAGTACTTGGGGCATTTTGCTACAGTAGCACCTACATTTCACTATTTGTATGTGGAATTATTTCTCAACTTAATTCAATCAAAGTAAATATTCTTCGTTATGATAACTACATTAATTACTTTCTGGATAGCATTGGTGCATTCTGAATTTGATTTGACACTTGCTGTCTGAATTACTGTTGGAAACGGTGTAGAGACGGGACTCTGGGGTCGTGCCGTCAACAATAGCAAAGTTTACAATAGTGAATAGGTAGGTTGAAATTTCTGAAAGGAAGCCAAAACGAGTGATACCAACGATTACCTATCTGGCTATATAAGAGAAAAACGAAATTGTAAAGCATAATCAAAATCCGGCTCTAAAGATAACGTTGGCTAGTTTTGAAACGTCGGCATAGACTCATCAACATCGGATACCTATATAATTGACTATAATATGCTTGACCAAATACCTTGATGTAAATGCTAACTTACTGAATGTTCGTCTCTAATAATCCCTGTTGGGAATATTTTCTTAAGATAATTCTTAAGCTCTGGAACAGTTTTTAGAAAGTTTCCTTGCCCTCTAACAACTTTATCTTTGTCCAGTTTCAGCATAACGTTGAAGCCGCACACTTCGGTTTTCAGTAGAGCTATCGGCCCTTCCCTTTTTATAACGCCCGCTTTCAATATTTTCAAGCTATAATAAAAACCATTAACAATTAATACAATTAGAAGAAATTATCAAAACTGATTCTTTACTCATCACATACGGCTTCGCATTCGTTCAAACTGTGAGAAGTCAAAATAAATGAATTTTGATTTGTGTCTCTGATTTGTTTGATTAGAGCCCAACACTTATGCTGTGATAAGGGATCGACGCCGGTAGTCGGTTCGTCCAGTAAAATAAAATCAGGTAAACCCATCACGGCTGCCGCAAAAGTCAATCTCCGCTTGTTTCCGCCACTGTAATGTACACATTTGATGTCTGCTACTTTCTTTAGGCCTAAAATAGAGTTTTATTTTTATTTCATGTTAAGTTTGACTTAAAATTTGCTCAGTTACCGAACTTATCCAAAAACTGTTCAACTATCTTGTTGTCTTTGATTCCTCGTAACATAGCCATAGTTTTTAATATGTCTCTTCCAGTTAGAGAAAGATTCAATGCATTTTCTTGTGGGCAATATCCTAATCTCTTCAAATACTGAAAAAGAGATACAACATTTAATATGCTCAACCGTAACATTGTATATCTTACCTCAATATTTCCAACACTGTGAGCGTTAATTCTAATAACTCCTTCATTCATCCCCGTTTCTCTAGTTAACATTCGGAACGTTGTCGTTTTGCCGGCTCCATTGACGCCCAAAAGACCCAAGCATTGACCTTTCGTCACGCTGAAACTGACGTTGTCGACCACTCGTTTACGCCAATAGTATTTCCTCAGGTTTTTCACCCGTAAAGTGTTGTGGTCGGCTTTTTCTGCTTCAGTGTCACTTTCTACTTCGATTTCATGACCATGACGCAAACATATCAGACTCATACCCCAATTTAAAACTCTTTTCAGACAATAGCAGTCTAGTGTGACAACTATCAAAAAGTAAATAGCCGCACATAAGAGCGTCCACCATATATCAGGATGATAAACGTCGATGTAGCTCTTCCATTTGTCACAAGCGGGACTTTCTCCAAAGCAACACGGATTCACATTTTCGCCAACGCATACAATTTTTTCAGCGTAATTATAATTTTCAATTGCTTTAAGCCCAAAGTAAATCCCAAAATAGGGAAGACCGTATTGAGGGCAGGTAATAAGAAATATCATGTGCAAGACTTTGGCTACTTTATGAAACTTTGGGGGGTTGAATAGTATCTCCAATGCAAAAACCAAAAAGCCGGTAAATGAAAGTGTCCAACTGTACATTATGAAATTGATATAAGCACTTCCAAAGGATTTTAGTCTGCCATACAAGTAGGCACAGGGTATAGAACACAATCCGTGTGTTGCTAGGATTAAATACATCACACCTAAATAAACAAGTCAATAGTTATTCTCGGGGATAATACCACGAGAGCTTCAAATTGCCGATAATTTTTCACGATTGCGTGTTTTCTATAATTTCACGAGTCCGTAGGACGAGTGAAATTTGCAGAGAAAACACGCATGAGTGAAAAATTATCTGGTTCATTTTAAAGCTCAAGTGGTATTTAGAGGATTATTTCACGTATGAGAATGCAAAAAAATATGGAAATAAATATGTATTAATAGTTATTTATGGTACTAGTGTGTTATGTTGAAAATAAGTCACGCGAGAAAGGTTTATACCACGAGGCCGTCAGGCCGAGTGGTATAAATTCTCAAGTGACTTAGGAAACATAACGCACGAGTGGCATACAATGTTTTATCCAACAAGTAGAAGAAATCGTTTTTTTATGAGATAATACAAAAAAAAATACAAGATTCTATGCGTCGGCGTCTTCCAGCACTATCAGCAGGTGTACCGATATAGGAGCGTCTGGTTCCAATGACTTCAAATCCGAATAAACTGTTAACGTTTCCTTTAATTTCCTCACTAATAAACAGAATACTACTTTGAATATGAACGTGAGTTATAATCCATAACTCACTAGTGAGTTATGGATTATAACACCCTAGTGTGTTATTTGATAGTTTACTTGTCTAAAATGACATTAATAATAATAGTCATAACTGTCATGTGTTGGATAAACGATTTAAACATCTTAACAATCAATACAAATAAATGTTTGCTATCAGGAACCGTTTGTTTGTATCAAAAACTAGCATGACAACCATGTATACAATAACATGGGAGAATTTTCAATAGTAATATAACTAGTGCAATGGAAATTATTGATAATTTTTGGGAAATTTGCCCGAATGCATTTTTCAGTTAAAAACGCATGAGGGCAAATTTGTCGAAAATTATAAATATATTTCCATTGCACGAGTTGTATTTAATGAGAGAATTTCATAAATCAAAAATTTAAATTTTTTGTCAAAAAATGTCAAAACACCAGTTTTCGCACCAGTTAGTATGCAATTATCTGATAATTTGCACTAGTGCAAATTATCGCCTAATTACAATCTGATTGGTTCAAATCAACAATCAAAACATGTCAATTTATTGTTGGAATACCAGTTTTGACAGATGTATGAAATTCTCGCTGTAATTCTCTCTACAGTGACTCTATAACCCACAGTGGCGACAATTGCTGTCTCATTTTTGATTGGTTCTAAAATCCCATATATTTATATTGAAAACATCGCCATCTTGTTCCCAACCCCTTATTACTTTTAAATATGAATATATGGGATTTAGGTGAACATTGAACATTCATCATAAATCTTGGAAAACAACGTATTTGATGAACCTAATAATGGTCATCAAATACGTCGATTTCAATTTTTTATGATAGATGTCCATTTAAATCCTATATATTAATATTTAAAAGTAACAAGAGGTTGGGAACAAGATGGCGGCGAAACCTCTATTGTCGCCACTGTATGTAAAGGTTTATTTAGCCACTGTAATTCTCTCTAGTTAAACAAATGGAGAAGAGAATTTTCGCTGTTATTCTGAAAACCGTCACTTGTCTTATGGTATTTCTAACACATGAGTGGAATAATCATATATAATATCACAAGAGAAAAAAATTTTTCGGCAAAATTTTCGAAAGGTATGAAAGTTTGTTGCTTGGCAATGATATTTTTGACAAAATGACGAGCCGTCAGGCGTTCTGTGCGTCAGGCGAGCGATTTTATCAAAAATGTCATGAGCGAAATTGCCGAAAAGCAACAAACTTGAATAAAATCTTGAGAACGAGGAAGTTGCATAAAATTTTATTTTGATGCAAAATATATTTAAAGTGAAGCTAAATACTCTAGAAGTATATTTCCATATTTAAATCCTCTTTATACTGAACCACTAATAAATAATTAATTTTTCAAATATTGAATAAAACAAAGGGCGCGAAAACGCTCTCCAATTGGTTATGACGTCATGGAACGGTAAACAAACAACAGTGTGGTTATGTAAACGTGATACGTGAGCCGTCAGACCCTGGTGTTTACATCGAATTCTACCGATGGTCGATGGATTTACCATTTTATGTCGGTCATTGTCATTTTCCATTAACTAAACAAAGATACCCATATATATTTGTTACTATCATTACTACACTATATCTTTCTCTCTCTTAATGTATATAGGGAGTGAGTTCACTGGAAGAGAATTGATTTCCAAAATCAACGTAACACTATCTTTTGTTTAGTGAATGGAAAATGACAATAATCGACATAGTTGCATAAACCAAAGACAAAACACAAAGGATAAGAGAGAGAGGGAGTACAGAAACTCGTTTTGACGGATACCGTCTTGTGACGTCATTCATTTATGAGTGCGTTTTGGCGCGAAGAGAGTTATTTTGAATTTCTATATTTTTTTACAGAAAAACTATTAGTTGAAAATTTAAAATTTATGTGGTGAGTGACTTTTTACAATGTGAAAAATTTATTAAGAGAATAAAAAAAAAATCTGCAAATTCCTCATTTTGCCTACACAATTAGAAACAATTTTTTCTCGAGTGGTATTCATCATGACTATTTCACGTAAGATTTTGAAAATAAATAGAATGCAAAAATATGAATAAAATTTTCGAATTGAAAATACTAGTTTGACAATGTCAAAAAATGGTCGCTGAAATACCAAGTTGTTGGTATTGTCCAGGTAGCAATATTGTCAGGTGAATACCCATAAGCGCAACTAGGCTCCTTTTTTTTTTTTGAGTTTGATGGAAAGAAAATGAGACGCGTAAAAGGTTAGTTTCACGAGGGTTTGTACTTACGTCATCATTTGCCTTTTTTAAAAAAAAATAGTTTTTTTTTATGTCTGAAGTTTCGAAACAAACATATAGTTCGTTGCACGGCACGCAGGTTTTCACTTACGTCATCGATGACGTCATAACTTAGAGAAAAAGTTATGTCATAGAATAATTCATGGAGCACCTTCGGAATTATTGTTTTGTAATACATTTTTTAACTTAGAAGAGAATTTATTCAGTTATAGGCCAAGGCACTTCGCGAAATAACAGCCATATTTTACCATAAAATTTAACAGCAAACTATCGATGCAATATTGTTAAGGATCATTTATAGATGATAAAAACCAAAAATGCAACATCTAATTACTTTTAGAGGATTTTATAATAGTTATTTTTCTATTTTGGTGTCATATCGAAGTCTTTTCGACACTAAAAGTAGTTTCGAAAAGAAGCTCTTTGTGACACTCCTTTTTTACTTATCGGAGGTTGGTAACACTGGCGGACTGATGGCCATCGAACTGTCATTCACGATTTTATAATAGAAGATTTCTATATTTGGCATGTAGTGTTACCAACCTAAACTATGAAATCAGGAAATATGAGAATAAAATTTCCAAGAATTTTTTTTTTTTTTAATTAAACAATACCAAAATAGAAAAAATAGTATAAAATATTCGTTTCATAAGACATTTTATCGCATTCGCCCTTTAGAAAACTCGCCTCCGGCTCGTTTTCTAATATAGGGCTCGTGCGATAAAATCACGTCTTATGAAACTTGTATTTTAATGTACTATTATGATATAAGTGTTAAATAGTACATTAAAATACAAGTTTCATAAAACGAATATTTTATACTATTTTTTCTATTTTGGTATTGTTTAATTAAAAAAAAAAACTTTTCTTGGAAATTTTATTCTCATATTTCCTGATTTCATATGTTTAGGTTGGTAACACTACATGCCAAATATAGAATGCGAATGGCCATCAGTCAGTCAGTGTTACCAACCTTCGATAAGTAAAAAAGGAGTGTCACAAAGAGCTTCTTTTCGAAACTACTTTTAGTGTCGAAAAGACTTCGATATGACACCAAAATAGAAAAATACTTTTATCCCATTTTGACGTTTAAAAATGACATTATTGAACGCATAATAGCAAAGGTAAGTAGACGTTTATCACCTGAGTGACTTAAAATATTTTTAACTCACTCTCGGTTTTTTAAGTCACTCTGCCAGTATAAAAGTCTGCTACAAATACAAACAAACAATTAGTTATACCTTAGCAACCACCAATTTCAATAGTTAGCGCTTTCATAACTACTAAATGAATTCTTTTTATAATTTGATTCCTATTAAGTACCTTATTTTTTAAATGTCCATCAAAATGGGATAAAATTTTGTATAAATCACGTGAGTTAAAATGTTTATTCATTCGAAGAAAATTAACCCACTCGCAAGGGCTCGTGGGTTAAACTTTCTTCTCATGAATAAACATTCATTTAACTCACTTGGTGTATAAATAACTATTAACACAAATATCATATAATATTTTTTCTATAAACGGTAATAAAAAGCAATAACCAGTAACAAATTGGATTTTTAAATGGATAAAATTGGAAGCATCTTTCCTACATAAAATTATTGAATTTGACATTTGTCAAAAAAACCAAACAACCAGCACCTTGTTTTACAGGTAATGAAATGTCTTGTCAGTTTCTTGAAAGTCTGTCGCGGTCAGTAATGCTTTTTGCTAAAAATGCAACAAAATACAGAAGAAAAAGAGGGTTACATCGATCCCTTGAAATATATAGATGAGGCGGCCAATCGGGCTACCTAAGTTGTTCAGATTTCACCATTAATATCAATGTAAATAACTAGAAATACAAACTTTTTTTGACGTTCGCTGTCAAAATTTGATGTTTCATTTTTAACACTAGGGGCGAGTTCAGGAATGAAACACTCAGTGTGAGTGTGACACCGGTGCGACGCACTCGCCGTTCATAAATGCTATAGGCACACCGAGTGCACGCACTCTGTGCCGTTCAGAAAGTACTTTGGGCGCGCTCCAGGTGTCGCACCGGTCACATCATAATTTTTTGGTGTGGCTACGGTGTGATTGTGTCTTTATGTCAACAATGTCAACCATTCCTCCCATAATCTCAATAATCCCATCAAATATAAACAAAACAC